ATGTCTCTGTTGGCACGGAGGAAGTCGACGAGCGTGCTTTCCTATTTGGAGAAAAGCGTGGTGCCGATGCGCACCACTTTGCCCCTCGAGCCACTAGGGTCTAGGAGGACCTCCTTGGCGCCCTCTAGGGGCTCAAAAGACCCGGCCGACCACTTGGGGTCGGGTGCTTCTTCGACGATCTCCTCCCTGATGGTCATGAGCTCTTTGGAGGCGACAATCACCGTGGCATGTTCGCAGCACTCGACCTCTCACTCGTAGGTGTGCTGGAAGGAGGTGCCGACGATGATGACCCTGCACGGACCCGGCATCTTCAACTTCAAATAGGTGTGGTTGGGGACAGCCATGAACTTCGTGTAGCATGGACATCCTAGGATGGCGTGGTCGGTCCCGTGGAACCCGACCAGCTTGAAGGTAAGGGTCTCCATCCTGTAATTGGCCAGATTCCCGAAGGTGACGGGCAGATCGATCTTCCCGAGCGACACAGACTGCTTTCTAGGCACGATGCCGTGGAAAGGCGCCTCGGTCGGCCGGATGCATGACCGGTCAATGCCCATGGCGTCGAGCGTCTCAGTGTACATGATGTTGATGCCGCTGCCTCCATCCATCAGTACCTTGGTGAGCCGCTTCATGCCGACGATCGGGTCGACCACGAGCGGGTATCTTCACGGCTGCAAAACGCTTTCTGGGTGGTCGGTCCGATCAAAGGTGATGGCGTACTCTGACCATTGGAGCAAGAAAGGCATGGCCGGCTCGGCCGTATAGACCTCACGATGTGCAAGCTTCTGACGGCACTTGGAGTCATAAGCTGCCGACCCTTTGAAGATCATGAGGCAGCCATCCGATGTTAGAAAGCCATCGTCCTTCCCCTAAGCGTCGTCTGCCGTTGGCTTGGGTTCCTTCCTATACTCCCCCTTGTTGGAGCCACCGGACAGGAACCGCTTCATGAGGGTGCAGTCTTTGTATAGGTGCTTGACGGGGAAGGCATGGTTCAAGTATGGCCCTTCGAGTAGCTTCTTGAACTGGTCTGGGGTACCCTCATCGGGCTTCCGACCCCCCTTGCAGTCAGCAGCGGCCACGAGCGACCGCGAGTGAGCCCTCGTGCCACTGCATGTTCTTCTTCTTGTTGGGGAGGCGCCTTCGCCGGTGTCCTCGTCCCGCGTCGCCTTGCCCTTCGGGTGGTCAAAAATTGCTCCGACTGCCTCCTCACCCGAGGCGTGGCTGGTGGCGATGTTGAGGAGCTCTTTGGTAGTTCACAAGCCCTTGCATCCTAGCTTGTGAACCAGGTACTCGTAGGTGGACCCAAACAGGAAGGCTCCTATAACATCGACGTCGGCGACGTCGGGTAGCTCGTTGCACTGCTAGGAGAAGCATCGGATGTACTCATGAATAGTTTCCCTAGACTTATGTCGACATTTTTTGAGATCCCACGGGTTTCCAGGATACGCGTAGGTTCCCTGGAAGTTTCCCATCAAAATCTCCTTTAGGTCCGCCCAACCTTGAATCCGGTTGAGTGGAAGGTGCTACAACCATGTTCACGAAGAATCGATCAGGAATAATAGAAGGTTGCGGATAATGAAACTATCATTATCCGCACCACCGGCTTGGCAAGCAAGCCGGTAATCCTCGAGCCACAGTCCGGGGTTTGTTTCCCTAGAGTATTTCGAGATGTTGGTCGGCGGTCAGTACCGCGGTGGGAAGGCGGCGTTGAGGATGTGTCGGCCGAAGGCCTAAGGTCCTAGTAGGTCGGGGCTCAGGATCTGGTCCTCGCCACTGTTGTAGTGTCCGCCGCGATGAGGGTGATAGCCGTGGCTGGCCTCCTCTCTCTCACCGCTTTGTCCACGCCTAGGGGCATCCAGGGTGTTACGTGCGTCACGGTGGAGGCCGAGAGGCTCATGCACTGGGGCTGCGGCACGTCCCCCGTCGGCGTGTGGCACCTGGTAGACAGACACGTCCCTGACATGTCATCCTGAGGCCGCTCGCTGATAGGCGTTGAGCTCGCGTCACTGAGACAGTGAGCTTTCCGCCTGCTGCACCGCCGCGCGCTCAAGTAACGTGCGGATCTCACGATAGGCCCAATGATCCTCGGGTGTCATGGACTTTGGGAGTCCTCGAAGCAAGGCCGCCGTGACAGCGATGTTCTGGCTTGCCCGGGCGAAGTGTGGGAGGGCTCCATAGCCTTCGATGATCCTTGAGTTTCGCGCCTACCGTCTTTGCGGCGCTCAATTTTTTGTTCGAGCTTCGCGCGCTCCTGCTCCAACTGGAGTCATGCATCCTTGAGTTTCCTATGCCGCGCCTCAGCTGCTCCACCCACAGGCGAGGCGGGGCCCTGCATCTTCGTCGACCTCATCGTCAAGGTCATTTGGTAGGGTAGCCCCTCCCTCATGGACGCTTTCGACGCATCCCTCGAGGGTACCTGCCATAAAACATTCTCGCGAGGGGTGATGGCTCCCCTGCTAGAGTCAGAGTCGGAGGGCGACTCTGAATCTCCTGCAAGAAGGTCGTGGAAAGATTCCATGATGTATTCGGTCATCCCCATGAACTCATCATTCGTAGGGGATGGGTGCATGCGCCACGCCATGGGGTGGCCAACGGTCCTTGCGGCGTTGCGCAGACCGAACGGGAACGCTGTCGGGGCGCTTTGGATGAGGTATTCCGGGGAGAGCGTTCCCCGGCAAGCTGCGTCATGACGTTGGTGAACGATAAGGTGAGGCAACGTAGGTCCTCCCGGGACGGTCGGGGTCCTAGGAAGGCGTCGAGCTAGTGCTCTAGCCTCCCATAATCAAAGCCGAGGAGCCGGTCGCTCCTAGGGACACGGACCTCTGGCGCATGCAGTTGCAGCTCCTCAAGCGCCTCGACGATCGTGTCGAGGCCGGTCGGAGTGGAGGGGCTGGACGGCGGCGGGAGCCTGCTCCACCTCTCCCTCCGTTGTGATGATGAAGTCCAGGTTCCCAAAGCGCACGTGCATGCCCGGGACTGAACTGACGCCGTGACCAACCATCCGAGGCCCTAATGTGGATGTCGAGATGCGCAAAAAACCCCTACCTGGCGCACCAACTGTCGGTGTTTTGGATCACCGGCTAGTAAATTTGAATTTGCGTGTGTTGGCCCGGATGGTGTGCTCGGATGACACAAGGATTTATATTGGTTTGGGCGGAATGTCCCTACGTCTAGTCTGCTGCTGCTCGTGTTACCGACACTAGTTTGTAGTAGGGGTTACAAATGGGCGAGAGAGGGAGAAGTTCCCAACTCTTTGGTGAAAAGATCAAATGGAGTCGAGTCTTGCTAAGCTTGTTCAGTTGTGTGTTTGTTTCGCCCTGTGCTCCTCTTCCCCTTGGGGCGTCCTGCTTCCCCTTTTATAGGTGAAGGGGAAGGCGCAGGTTACAGAGGGAAAGAAGGAGAAAACTAAGGGAGAACAAAGGCCACCAGGTCCTTCTTCTCCTTCATGCGGATCCCGTCGATGCTGTAGATGGTGACAGGGATGGCTCCACGTCGGCGTCCTGTTCACCACTGGTGCCATGCCCCGACGTCATCAGCTGGTCGTGGCGTCCCATCCCGTCTCGGCGGATGGCGTGGTGAACCGATGTGCCGGTCAGCGGCTGTACGGGGAGTAGGCAGCACAGCGATCACGCACCCATCACTGTTGGCGATGTGAACCCCCGGGCGTGGCCTGACGTGGCCATGGGTCACGTCGAGACGTGCCTGCTTCCTGCCTGGTGTCAAAAGTTTGACCCTAGGGTCGTACCTTCTGACCCGTAGTGGTTGGAGGCGGTATAGGTCCCCATCGAGCGAGACGGAGCCCGCGCCCTAGGGGTCAGGCGGGACGGAGCCCGTGCCCATGGCTCCCATTCCCTCGAGGTCGGGCGACACGGCTCCCGTTCCCTCGAGGTCGGCGCGACATGGGGCCCGTGCCTGAGGGGTCGGGCGAGACGGCTCGGGGTTGGGCGAGACGGAGACCGTCCCTTCGATGTCGGTCGAGACTGAAATACGTCCTTAATTATCTAGGCGAGTCGTCGTCCATGGTCCTCTAGATCCCTTCTTTAGGTATCCCTAATACTGATACCTGACAGTACCAAAGGCTATGAATCTACTAATGGATTTCAGATTATAAGATGTTTTGGTATTACCATAATTTCATTCTATATTCTATATCTAGACATAATTATATATCTAGGTATGTAGCAAAAGTTATGAATCTAGAAAAGTCAAAATATCTTATAATTTAGAACAAAGGGCAAATATCTAAAGATTGTTGGCAATGAGCCTAAAAAATCTTCGTAGACACTTGGCTCTCATGTTATTTGGATTCTAAGGCCCCGTTCGGCTGGCAGAATTTTGGTTAAAATTAGCCGAAAAACATTGTTCTTGCTGAATTGTTGTGAGAGAAAAACACTGTTCCGGCTAAAAAAAAAGCCGAACAAGTCGAATATGGGGTAAACCGAACGGGGCCTAAATCTTCACGGACACCGTGTCTCCTTGTGTTTGAATCCTGGCTCCGCCCCTGGCTAGCGGTGTCGAAAAATATAGGGAAAAAAAGGATGTGGTGGGAGATTTGATGGATCTATCTCTTATGTTGCAACGTTCTAAGGATAAACAAGAGGATGGGATATCTGTGGGAGTTTGAATCGGGGCAGCTCCAACAAGATGTCAGCTAGCCCATACAGATATTAGTATAGGATGATGATCCATCTAGCAGATAGCGTTGGAACAGTAAAACCGTTCTTTTAACACCTCATCCACTCCAGAATTTTATAATAATAAACCAAGATCCATTTGCCAGATAGCGTCATCAAGCTCACGTAATAAAGAAGTAAAGAACTAACTTTATTCAACTGTATAAAAGTGTGTAGCATCACGATGTGCACTCATAAACACACACAACCAAGGAAGAACAACCACTACGACTTTTCAACGTATCAACTCCACTCTTGATCTCTTCTGAAAGCCGATCGCCTGCTCTGCTCCACAAGCCCGACATGAATGTCACTCCTCACGCGTGCTGCTCACTGGCAGTACTGGCGGTACCAGCAGCAGCGGCTGAACCCGGCGTCCCCGTCCCCGACGACGCTGCCGCGGCTGTGGAGCCACCACAGCAGGTTGGTCAGCGAGTTGCCATCATCATGGCCATTGAGCGCGCGGGTCTTGGTCAGCGCCGCCTCCTTGTCGTAGATCCCCTCCAGCGCGTACACGAAGCCCTTCCAGCCTTCGCCGACGCCGTCCCTCGCCAGCGCCGGGAGCGTCCACGCCACCAGGTCCTTGACGAACGCCACGTCCGGGAACAGCGCCTCGCTGATGGGCAGCACGGGCAGCAGCTGGATCCCGAGGCGGCACTCCTTCCACTCGGGCGGCGCGAACCACAGCCCGCTGTCGCGCTTGTTGGCCCACAGCACCCCGACGACGCGGTTGTTCCCGCTGAAGTCGTCCTCGTAGATGCCCTCCCCTTCCCGGACGTGCCACCACGTCTGCGCCGCCAGCATCTCCAGCGCCGTCAGCGTGGCGCCCACGGAGACGAGGTGCGCGTCCCCGTAGCTGAGCCCCACCAGCGCCGCCGAGTAGTAGGCGTTCACGGCCTCGCTGGTGCTCTCCTGGTTGCGCCCGTCGGCGAACTCCGTGAGGCCCCCCGCCCACGAGTGCAGCTTCCAGAGGTCGAACATCCGCAGCCGGGTGAAGCTGGCGCCGGCCTTGTTGCGCGACAGCGTCATGAAGTCGGCCACCATGGAGTAGGCCTGCGGCATGTACTTGCGGCCCCAGCACGGGTCGATCTTGGCCAGCACCGCGATGGCGTAGAGGAAGTAGCCCAGGTGGTAGTGGTGGTCGTTGTAGATGCCGAAGCCGAAGTCGGCGCCGGAGTCCTTGAGCCCCTGCAGCGTCACCAGCCCGCCCCATTTGGCGTCGTAGAAGAAGCCGTTCCCCTGGAAGCTGCCGTCCAGCCACGGCGTGACGGCGGCCTTGAGGTACTGCTGCACCGCCGGGATCACGTCGGGGCACCCGACCTCCTCGGCGATCAGCGCCAGCCGCGCCGCGCGCGCGATTGCCTTCCCGTAGAAGTAGGACGAGGTGGTGGTGATCGCGGTGGATGCGAGGCCGGCCACGTCGGCGCGCAGCGCGGCCACGACCTCGGCGACGCCGTCCTCGCTGACGCCGCGGGTGGAGTGCCATGTCGGGGACACCGGGTCGGTGCGCAGGACCCAGGCGTCGCCGACGACGCCGACCATATCGCCGTCGATGCTCCGGTAGCGGAAGTCGTCGAGCACCCGCACGGCGCAGCAGTCGTCGGCGAGCAGGCGGAGGTGGAGCGGGTGCGCGAGCATGAGCAGCTCCCCGGGCCCGTCCTTGCGCCAGGCGTAGTCGACGCAGAAGGGGCGGTTGAGCGCGGCGTGGCCGGCGGTCGGGAAGCAGCGGCTGTAGCGGTCGAGGATGGGCTCCATGGACGCGTCGGGGAGGTAGGCGACCCGGATGGCGCCGGCGAAGGTGGGCGCCGAGAGCTGCGTGGTGGTGGCCTGCGCGAGGCGGATCGGGGCCGACGCGTAGAGGAGGAAGGTCTGGCCGCTGTTCATCCGGAGGCGCCACTTGGTTCCCGAGTCGTCGCAGGAGGCGACGTCGAGGAAGGCGTGGACGGACGCGACGGAGACGTCGACGGGCCCCGCCGTGGTGGTGACGGTGACGTAGGGGCATCCGCGGACGAGGTGCGCGCGGAGGGACGGGGAGACGTCGAGCGTGACGGAGAGGTCGTCGAAGGCCGAGACGCAGTGGCGCTGCGCCGCGCTCCCGGCGGCGTCGGAGATGGTGAGGTCGGCGACGAACGTCTGGATGACGAAGGACGGCGAGTGGTTCCGCGACGGGTAGCAGACGTCGAGCGCGGCGCCGCCGGGGGAGCGGACGGAGTAGGGGTGGATGTACTCCGGCTGGTCCCCGTTCTTGAGCACGAAGTTCTGGAAGAAGGAGTTGGTGGGGAGCGGCGCGGCGAGGAGCGGCGGCGCGAAGAAGCGGGACGGGTCGGGCACCACGGTGGACGTGGCGCGCGGGAACACGAGGCCACCCGGCGCCGGCGCCGGCGGGCGGTGGCTGCCGTGGTGCGGCATGGTGGTGGTCGGGGCGAAGTGGGGAAGGGAAAGCTCCTCCGGCGGCTGCAGCGGCGGGATCGAGACGGGCGGCGGAGGGGGAGGCGGACCGACGGGAGGGTGGGCCTGGGCCTGGGCCTGGGCCGGGAGAAGGCGAAGCGCGGCTTGGAGGTGACGATGCGGGAGAGGGTGTGGCCCAGCTTCTTCGTCCACTTCCGCATCTCGCCGCCTGCTCGGGCTGGTGCTTTATACTACTGGATGGAGGAGTGATATCGGTTGGGCTGGGCTTTGACTGGGCCAACACGGTGAGATCTGATCTGACAACAAACAACCCTCGGGACAGGTCGGCGTGTTCCTGCGTGCCACACGGTACAAACAAACAATACAGAGATTTGCAAATGGGTACGACCTTCAATGGACGGATATGATTACAGTCACTGGATTTTGTGCTAATACAAGCACTGGAACCACGAGACTGAGAGCGACGGCAACATCACTCAAAGCAAGTAAGCACGACGATATACAGAGTGTATGATATGGTGTTTAACTTTAATTGATTGATGGACAGAGATGATTAGCGGCTAAGCATTGAAAACGTGAAAACACATTTGAAGGGAAGGAATGGTTTTACTATATTTTCTTCGCAGTTAGTTGAGTTGAAGCAACGAGACCGGGAGGAGACGACAATGAACAGAACACCGAACACACGATCTGAAAAAGAGACACGGGCGTGGAGAACGTGGAGCGGTTCCGGCGGCCTACCTCGTTAACGAGATGAGATCAGGGACGCCGCTGGCCTTCTTCACCTCTTGCGGTTGGAGTGGTTGCGATGGAGCTGTGGCCTGTGGGGGTGATTGGTTACCCCGAGCCGCGGCTCACGTCAGGTAGGAAGACGCAGCGCAGCAGCCAGGCCGTGTGTGTCCCGCGTCGTAAGATTTACTTAGCACGGGCACCGGCGGCGGGCGAGGGAAGCAAGGGATGATGGGCTTGCCGTGGCGGCGAATGCTTGCCCGCGAAGGCAGCGGCAGAGCCAAGACGGCCGGCAACCGCAACCTCAAAGCGGGGCCGTGGGTGCTCGTTGGTCGTCGTTGCTTCCTTCGTTCCGGGGCGACACGACGTTTTTGTCTCTGGTTGGAGTTGGACGCGCGCGGCGGCAACGAAGAAACCCGTCACGTAGCACAAGCGACGTTGCTGCTCTGCTTGTTTCAGCGGACACGCGCCAGTGTTCCGATCCCAGCAGGGCGCAGCTGCCGTCGCCGGTTGCCAGTTGCGAGTACAATTGACGGCAAAGCAGCCTTTGGTGTTCGGTTTTTGTTGTTACCCAAGTTGGCTTGGTTGGGGAAACTGGCCACAAGCAAGTACTGACCTAGAATAAGTTGATAAATCAATGATGGTACCAAGTAAACATAATTAATAAACAGAATGCTCTGTTTTTGCTCTTCTCCAACTCAAAATATATATGTGGGAGGAGGAAAAGCTATGTGAGGGAGGGGGGAATGATCAAACTTTAAATAGTTTGACTTAGGATAGATATAAATTCTGTTTTGGAGTCAACTTCCAACAAGTGGAGATAGAGCTTGCAAAAAATCTATGAACAGAGATCGACCTAACTACGAACGTGCAAACGCATCCTTTTCCATGACCTCCAACTGAATCTCTTGGTTTAAAAATCCAACTTCCAAATAGGTCAACTTCTACGGCAGCTTGAATTTAGGCCAATGAATAAAGGTTCAAGTTTGAGTTCCCAATACTTCTACCTTGCAAATTCTTCTAGATCCAGTAGAACACAAGTTTACCTTATTAAGTACCTCAATGGGATAGGACAATTTTGCATGACTAATGAGGAAGTTGGCTCTCTATAGCTTGGCCAAATGGGCCTCACATATATATAAGCATGTTAAGTGATGGGCTCACTTTAATAAAATAAAAAAAGTGATGGGCTCACAAATACAACAGACATGAATAACAATCACTTAGTCATGTCGTCTACGATTAACTCCTCTGTAGTTTTCACTATGAATCTTATATCTAATCATGTTTTGGGGATCAACTTGAGTATTGACAAGTGACTTCTGGAGCTTGAGTATTAACAAGAGAAGAGCTCTACCTAACGAGGAATGTGCAAGCATGATTTCGCTCGTCTCCATCTTGGTCCTTGGGTTTGCAAGCCCAACTTGCAAACATGTCAACTTTTACACACATCTTTAGTTTATTATACGGTCCTAAGCACTTATCCTAAAGTAGATAATCACTTGATCCTCCCGTTCCAGTCTATAATATGTCCTTTATTTATCAAAGTTATCTATGCATGTGCCTGTGGTCTTCCAACAAAGAATGTCATTATCACTTTGTGAGAAATCAAATGTTTTCAATTTTAACCAAATATATAAAAAATTTATTAATATTTATGGTGCATAATAGTATGTATTATTAGAATAATCATTAAATATATTTTTATAATAAATATTACTAATATTTTTTATAAATCTAATTAAATTTAAAAAATTCTGATCTACAAAAAATCCTAAACATGCATATTTAAAGCTATAAAAATAAATAGGAGGGTGCATGTATGACACGAATACCTAATTCCATGGAAATATGCATGCTACCAGAGGAACCGGCAGTCCCAGCTAGCCGCTGGTGGGAACCTCCTATGCCCCTTGCCTTCTCCGCAGCGCTAGACCATTGCCGCACGCTGGAGTTTGCCACTGCACGACCACGTGTATGGATGAGCGAGGAAGAAGAAAATGTTTTGGTTTGCAAAAAGTCCACATTATCTTCCTTAACTTTTATAAAAAGTTTGTTCTTCCTCCCTGAACTCTAAAACTGGATAAACCACCTCCTGAACTTTTAAAACCGTTTGTTTTATCTCCTTGACCGGTTATAAGCAGTTTTCAAAGGTTGTTTTGTATTTTTCTTTTTTATTTATTTTGGCTAAATCTTTGAAAAATCATAGTAAATCACAGGAAAATCATAAAATGAAAAATCTAATTTTGTTGGACTCCACACTAGTAGATCTACACAGTGAATATATAATATGGTATGCTTTAGTATAAATTTTTTATTGTATCTTTAGATCTATGATTTTATGTAATTAATTCATAGCCGCAGTTTCTATAGTTCAATTATGGTAAAATTTTTATGGTAGGCTAATTATTATATGCTTGAACTATAGTAAAAATTTCATACCCATTGGATCATGTATAACTTAGTTATAGATTTATTTAGATGAGTTATAGATTTATAAATACTTTCTAACAAGCATACACCTAAATAAAAGTTTGATGCGCCATGCATGCATACCTTTCTGGGATGAAGCTTGCAGGTCTATCACATAGCTCAGGATCCCTATGGATCGCGAACGTATTCACGAGGAGCATTGTCCCCATGGGTATGTGAAACCCACTTACCGTGCATTCAGTTGAGGATTCATGATGATGCACCAAAGGTAGTGCAGCTTTGGGAGATCGGCCGCCTCGAGTGGGCGCACCGGTTGCCCTATGCATGCATCGATTTCTTCTTGAGCTCTTGTCAGCACGGAAGGGTTGTTCGGCAGTTGGGACATCGCCCACTCCACTGTATCTGCTGAAGTACTTGTTCGGTTGTTCCAGCTTCTAGGGAGCTCTTCATCGAAAACGAAGAATAACTACAACTTAGGACATGTTTAGAACCCAAGAATTTCATAGGAATTAGTTCATTTTAAGCCTTCTGTTGGAAACCAAAATATTTTGCAAGATCTGGCTCTCAGTAGTGAGACTGGCCAATATTTTGTTTATGGTTTTAGAGTTCAGAAACAATATATTTACAACTATGCCAATATCAGAGACGACACACATTTTGATGTGGGAGCTATATTTTGTTTTAGAAGTGCTACGACACTGCAGTCCACATCAGCCCCAGCTAATACGACAAATATTCTGATAAACAACTGGTGCATGAAACTCCAAATTCCGACAATGTATGCAGAGCATGATGCCAGCGGTGCTTTCAACAGCTATATGATGTTGTAAAAGAAAAAAAAAACAAATTCCAGTTGGAAAGGAGGCAAGCCAATGCAACAGCCATGCCCCATGGAGGTGATTACTCACAATGCACAAGGTGCGGATGAGGTGGTCCGGGCAGGCCTCGGGGTCCTCGTTCTGCAGCGTGAGCAGCACGCCGATTATGGTCCTCCTGGCCGGCGCGCCCTTCTCCATCTCCTTCCTCTGTTCCTCGATCAGGCCCTGCAAGAACTTGGTCTCCGGCCTTCCCGCAGCCGCCACAGCCGGCGCCGCACCCCGCCCACGTCCAGCCATCGTGCCCACGCCGGCAGGAAGTCCCACGCCGTCGACGCGCCGCTCAGCTCCATCGTCTTCTCCACCATCTCCCTGAACCACCGCGCCTCCTCGCTCACCCCCACCGCTGTCTCCTCCTCCTCCTCCTTCCCGTCGCCGCCGTAGTACCTCCTCGCGCACATCATCCCCATCATGGCGTTCATCAGCAGCTCGAACAGCCGCGACTTGAGCTCCACCCGAGCGCGGCGCCTGCCGCCGCGAGCCGCCGCGGCGCGGTAGAGGCCCCGCGTCATGGCCCGCGTCTCGCGCTCGTGCACGTCGGCGAACTGCTGCATCCGGAGCACGGAGAGGATCTCGGTGACGGCGATGCGGCGGACGTGCCGCCAGTAGGGCCCGTAGCTGGCGGTGCCCATGGTGGTCTAGTCGTAGGAGAGGATCCCGCCCGACGGCAGGCGCGGCCGGTTGGCGAACGTGACGTCGCGCGTGCCCAGGCACTCCTTGGCGGCCTTAGCCGACGACACGATGATGACGCGACGGGAACCGAACCAGAGCTGGAAAACAATGCCGTGGCGAGCAGCGAGGCGCGCCAGGATGCGGTGGAGAGGCTTCTTGAAGAGGTGCAGGTGACCGATGACGGGGAGAGGGGTCGGCCCCGGCGGGTTCCGGCTGTTAGATTGATCTCCTAACCAACGGCTTATTGGGCCTTGGTCACGCGCCCTGATCGGGGGCGTCCAACCCTACATGGTTGGTGGGCCTCGTCGTGTTCAAGGTATATAAAGAGGTGGGGGCCGGCGGCTCAAAGCACGAGGTTCGCCGTGAGCCGCAAACCCCACCGACAAAACCCTAATTCCGATCTAGAAGAGGGTGCGTGACCGACCAATGACGGGAAGCCGCCACCGCTCATCAATATCATCCCGCCGCCATCGTGACCGCATCACCGTCTCCATGACGCCGCCTCTCTTCACCGACTGTTCGTTGCACGGAGCAGACTTCACCACACAGCAGATGGAGGCCTCTGGATCTACTCCTCTGGTATCTCGTGTTCGACACCTTCTCCTTCCTCTAGATAGCTTTCTAGGTCTACATAACGGGTCAGTAGTCTACCGCTCTTGATGTCTACCCTCTAGACCGACTGCTAGATGATCCACAGTTTATAACAATGGTACCAGAGCCTTTTTCTAGCGGTAGATCTGGATCGGGGAAAGAAAGAAATCGAACCCTAATCCTCAATGTAACTACGGGAAAAGTGAGAACTGCTTGAGACATGGTCTCGACATCCCTAACCCGCTTCGGTGATTGATCGAGAAGGAAAAGAACCGATTTCAAATCGGGGGGGGAAAGCAGTTTCATCCCCAAACCTAACCCTAACCTAATCGGGAAATCGTGCAAAATCCGAATCAAAGAAACCGGAAAGGATCCCGATCTCGGATCGGATCGTAAAAAACCCTAACCCTAGAAATGAAACCCTAACCCTAGATTGGGTTTTGGGAAGGAAAAGATGAAGAGGGAACCTACCCGGTTCACCCGACACCGCCGTCACATGAAAGCTACCATGCAGGCGGGTGGTGGTCACCGCCGCCATGGTTGGCGCTACGGACAGAGGCCCCGCTCGACCGTGGCTCGGGGCAATGTTCAAAGCCGCTGACGGGCGCGCTGCTCGCCATGGGGCGAGCGCGACCGCACCGTCGGGGCTTGGCACCGTGTCGCCCCTCTTCTTCTCCGGTGACGAGGTGGCCGCGTGGTTTCTTCGAGCATTCACTACAAGCGTCGGCGTGGGAGAGGAGAGGAGAAAGAGGGAATGCAACTAGGGTTCATTGTGGAGAGGCGGCCGGCGTGGGAGGGGTTTTGTTGGGCGAGATGGGCGGACAACCGTCGATCCATCTAGCGATCAGATTCGCCGGACGGCTTTAGGCCCAAAGGGCAAACGGTTTCGTGGCCTGAGCCCAAAGTTGCTCGCCTGGGTGATGCAGAGAGATGCTATTGTCCTCTGTTGCCGAAAGCTGCCGTGGGCTTTCCTCGATGTGAACACCTATGCGCATAGGTCTTTGGGCCAACACAGGCATCTAGAACTGGGCGAAATGGCCTAATGAATAGAAAAACTCAAAGTTTTTTTTATTTTTCCGTAAATATATATTTTGATGAATTTCAATTGGAAGTTGATGCAAATCTTTGTGTAATTTTTGTCCAACGACAATTTTGTTCAGAGAACAGTGCAATATTTAAGAGTTTCTGGAAAAATAATTATGGGCATATTTAAAGTTTCCGCTGCGTATTTAAAGATGTAATTTTCATTAATAAATTCGAACCAACGGGAGAATTTATTTTTGAAAATGGATATGTTTTAAATTGATTATAATATTGTTGTTATTCTGACCAACGTTGATTAATGGCAATATTATAATGTTTTTGTCATACATTAATTCTATTTCGCTTAACGGTGATGTAGAATTAGTGTAGAAAATAATTGTATGTTTTAATTTTGACCAACGTTAAACTAAGGCATGCAATTATTGTTGTTATTTCTGTTCTCACACTATTTGAATTGTGTTTTCAGGAGGATACAACTTAATGAGTTGTATCAAAGAGATCCCCACTCTAAAAGGTGATAACTATAATGAGTGGAAGAAAAAGATAGACTGGCCTTCATCCTCATTTGAGGTGGATTAAGAAACACCACACCGTGCTCCTGCAGAGAACCTGTGGCACCGGTGAGGGAGACTGATGAGACCAAGTGGCATGGCGTAATGAGAGAGCGGGATTTTGCTCCGTAAAGATGTCCTATGACCTTGAGCATAGGAAATGGGTCACCGCCAACAAGAAGTGTTTGGCGTTGATAAAGAACACGATTGAGCCTGCTATTGTGGGCTCAATTCTGCATCGTGATATGTCACAGAGTACCTAGATAGAATAAAGAGTCAGTTCACTGGCTCTTCAAAAAGATATGCAACCCAAATTGATCAAGTAAATTGGTTATCGTAAAGGTACTCACGGTGGCGGCAAATGGGCATTAGAGCACATATACGAGAATGAGCAACTGGCATCTAAGCTCAAACCAATGGATTTGGCACTCAAGGATGAGTTTCTTATTCATTTGATTTTTGCTTCTTTGCCCAAAGAATTTGACACCTTTGTTGTTAATTACAACATACTGACCCTAAAAAATGGGATTTAGAAAAGCTCATAGCCATGTGTGTGTGGAGGAGGAGGAAAGAATAAAAGTTTCACAAGGTGGTTCTCATCAACTACCTAAAAGATAAGAAAAGAACAATTATAACAGCTCTTCCTCCAAGTCATCCGAAAAGGTCCCATGCAACAGCCTCTCAGAATCGGCAATTCCCTCATTGGCATAAAGACAAAGTGTCTCCATTGCAAGAAGACGGGACATTATAAAAAGAACATCCGATTTCCTAAAGATGATAATGAAGAATAAAGGTGAGAACATTATTACGTTTGTAAATGAATCCTTGTATGTAAAGTTTTCAAAATCTACTTGGTGGATTGATTCAGTGCAACTATTCATGTTGCTAATTAATTCACAGGATTCCGTTCGATGAGAACTTTGCAAAGAAGCGAAAGTTTCATTAAAGTCGCAAATGGAGTACAAGCGAAGTTGAGGCCGTTGGAGATCTTCCCTAGAGCTTCCAGATGGCTTTATACTTTTCTTAGAGATGTTCTTTATGTACCTTCTTTGCAAAGAAACCCGATTAGTGTATCAAAGTTGGACCATGATGGTTATGATTGCCATTTTGGAAATGGCAAATGTCGATATTGTTTAATAATAATGTGTTGGTCTTGCCTTCCGACAAGACGAGCTTTATTTGTTATCATTTCGTGAAAATGTGAATTCCGTATGTGATGTGATTGAAAATGTATCCTCATCGAACAATGGAAACAGAAAACGAAGAGAGCTCACGATGCGTTGTCGAAATTATGGCATCGCTTTAGGCCATATTTCGAGGGGGAGAATAGAAAGACTAGTTAAGAATAATATTCTTTCTTCATTAGAGCTCTCGAGTTAGAACAATGTAGAAATTGCATAAAAGGAAAGTATGTAAAGAAAATTAAGAAAGATGCCAAACGAAGGCATAGAATTCTCATGATTATTCACACGTATATATGTGGTCCTTTTTCCGTGAAAAGTGTGGATGGTTATGATTCATTCATAACATTCACATGTGACGATTACTCTCGGTTTGGCTATATTTATCCAATTAAAGAAAGAAATGAAAGCGCTGGATAAATTCAAAATATTTAAAGCGAAGTTGAAAATCGGCATGATTTAAAGATTAAGATAGTAGTCCGACCGTGCGTGGAGGAGAGTACTACGGTCGGCATACCCCATATGGACAAGTTCTGGACCTTTCGCAAGGTTCTTACAGGAGAATGGTATAGTCGCCAAAGATTAACAGGCAAGAACCTCAAAGCAGAATGGAGTAAGTGAAAGGCGAACTGCATTCTGATGGATATGGTGCGTAGTATGATAAGTTAGTCCACTTTACCGATGAGTTCTGTGGATGGAGGCGTTAAAACCGCCATTCATATTCTCAATAGAGTACCAAGTAAGTCGGTGCCCAAAACACCGTATGAGTTGTGGATGTGAAGAGTACCTCACTTAACCACTATGCGTGTGGGGAGCCTCTTTGAGGCTAAAGTTTTAACCCAAACATTGGGAAGCTAGATCCCAAAGAACAAGTGAGTTGCCATTTCATTGGCTACCCAGAAAAAGTCAAAAGGTTTTCGTTTCTCTTGTCCCTAATGAGACATACAAAATTTATGGAAACGAGACACGCTGTCTTCCTAGAAGATGAAATGATTAGGGGGAGCCTGGTAGCTCGAGAAATTGACTTTGAAGAGAAGCGGGTGTATGCACCCACTCCGATCATTCATGAGTCATTTTTCTCACTACCTGCTGTTGCTACACCGACAAGATAAGACACCTTGGTGGTGACTGTTGTTATCCCACTGTGGCAACAATGAATGATGATGAGGAACTCCGTGCCTCTCAGGATCCTATAGAACCTATTGCCACACATGAGGGGGAGCAACAACACCTCAAATGAAAATGTGCCAATTGAGGAGGCCCTAGAAGATCTCAAAGAGTTAGAAAATCAGCTATTCTGCTGATTATGAAGTGTACAACATGCTAAGAATTTCAAATGGGGATGATCCCACCTCATTTGAAGAAGCCATGAAAAGTGATCATTCATCAAAGTGGCTTGAGGCCATGGAAGATGAGATGAGATCAATGAATGCAAATAAAGTTTGGGATTTGGAGATAATTCCTAAAGGAGCCAAAACAAGAGGGTCGTAAATGGGTCTACAAAACAAAACTTGACTCTCAAGGGAATATAGAAAGATATAAAGCCCGACTTGTGGCAAAAGGCTTTACACAAAGAGAAGGGATTGATTACAA